GTCGGATAATGTATAGGTACTTGGATATTGTTGTTCGCATAAGATTTACTGATAAAATAAAAATATGTATCCGATAAGTAATTACAACATATAACCAAAGTAGTCGATAGGCCAGTAAGTCAAAATATGTTTGCTCATGTAAACTATTTTAACCCATAAGGTTACTTTCAAACTGATGTTTGGAATCTGAGAAAAATTCACTGATCTCAATGAAAACTTATTATACATTAGCATAGAAATAACAAATGTAATATTGTAAATCAGTTTACATAATAAATTTGTAATGGAATGTTTACTGAAAAACGTAGTTCATTTATTTATTTATTTGGTTGAACACATAAATATTGGTATAAAGGGGGCACCGAATACATATGCGCCACACAAGTCACTTGCTTTGTGTGTGGTCTGTGATACTGCCCGAGTGTCCAAACCGAAGCAGGTGGTTTTTCAGTGGAGGCCACACCCGGAGTTTTTGACCTCGATGTCTAATCCACAAGGCAGTGAAGCAACGTGAGGAGATACATTCTCATGGTAGCCATTGGCCAACAATAAGTTCACTCACCATTTGTTACCTCAAGATATTGGAGCCCATGAGAACGATTGGTTTGGAATCAGGGTTTTCCAACTCACTTAGGTGGTTCCTCCGAGTCCAACAACCTTGTTAAAGTGCCAGACATTCGCTTTTCGTCCACGAGAGGGCAGTGAGTAGTACTTCCCAGTCAGTGGTTGTATACGCATGGCCAGGTGAGATCATTTCGAGGGGAGAAAGCCGACTCTCCCCATTCTCGGACGTATCAGGGCATATGGGGCCGATAAACGTAGTAGTAACAATTAAATACTTCCAAGGTATTTAATGACATTTTATATTTGTGAGAAAATATGTCATTACGAAACAACTGAGATTGTTTATTCAGTAAATGATCTACATTGAAATACACTGAAAACTAGATGGAAATAACCAATATGAGAAATCATATTATCACGTGACTGAAGTATGAAGAAGTTGCTTAGAATCATCAAACTTCAATAAAATGAGTTAACTACATTAATTATGGAAAATTCAGTGAGATATATTCAAGGATTGATGCCTGTACTCAACAATGTCAGCGACATTATTTAAAAATTGAATGCTGTTATTAATAGTTTTAGTGGCCCGTGGATCTGACTCCTAGATCGTACGAATGATTGTTATTGCCTATTCTCGTATATCATCGTCGACTTGAATCGCGTTAGTCAATAACGGAATAAAATAAGTCGAATAACGAGAATTGACTTGTGAATACATATATTTCGTATATGAAGCGAATGAAACAGAGCAAAGCAAAATTACACGCAGGGAAGATGGCTGGGGAGCCAACTCCATTTTAGTCAAGTGTTACTCAATATTTATAGGCAGACAAAATAAACTACAGACATGTGATGAGACATGGGATATGAAATGTACACACATATACGCTCACATAAAAACAATCAAGACTGACAAGCGAATAATTGACAAGGTCAAAATATGACTCAAGTAGAATGAATAGAATGGAATGTCCGAAAGCTAGAATAAGATATATGGGCTTAAAATAATGACTGACACGACATAGTAATAAGTTTATAAGAGGAAGGTGGTTTATCTTTCCATTTTCAATAAATAAATCACTTTATGATGTAATCTTTTCGATCTTCCTATAGACTTATATATTTGCCAAAAAACTCTAAATACGAATGTATAGTATAAGTAAGTAATCTTATCAAAAAGAAATGTTTCTTCTCCGAATTCAACAACACAATGAGTTCCTTTAATTCACTAAATAACTGTTGAAGGAGGAAATTAACAAAACTTGAGAATCTCATAATCACCAGTGTGAAATTCAGATTTCTTGTCCATGTATCTTTATTTCAACTAAACAATAATTTTAAGCAAAGATTGGATAGTGGCTAGCAATGAAATGGAGGACGCGCGTTTCATCCTATTTGGAACTCGTCGGCTGGATGTACCTGAATCTCAGAGTTGATCTTCACTCAGGGATTCGAACCCAGTACCGTTCACAGTCTTAAATAATAATGGGAAGATACAAGTGAAACAACACCAAGTGTATTTAAGCAATAATTTTATTTAAATTACTCATCCTGCTGATGATATATCCCTTACGTTCCTTAAATCTTTTTCTTTGCTGATCATTTGTTTATTCAAAACTGTATAATGAAATAATAAATAACAATTCAGTGAATTTTAATAAATAATTAGACTTAGTGATTAAATCCTGTATGTAATCCTATGATTTGAAATAAGAAGCCGTGATTAATGGAGTTCAAACATAATGAATGAAAGATAGTTACTCAGTGAAAGCATAAATGACTGTATTTTAATATCGTCAATGGATCGAAGTTAGGCAGTGATCTAGACGTTAAGTGAACAAATGAGAGGCTGAAGGTTGTTGGTACGATCTACCGTGTTCTGGTCATGACAACCATTTTAGTATCTAATAGTGTATTTCCTTACTGATCACCAGTTATCCAATTCAAACCAAATTTCAACATGACGTAATCCTAATAAGGTTAAACTTATTTAACAAATAAACGAATGAATTTTTCTTTTCAAATAAATTGACCATTAGGTAGGAAGTAAATAGAAGACATATTTTTATCAGAAGGGGTTTTGTGGATATTATAGTAATTTTAATAGTTGAGATCATGAGTCAATTGAATCTAGATCACCAGTGAAAACCTGGAAGCACTGGACGGCCGTTTCATCCTAGTATTGGACTCCTCAGTAGTGGCATTCACGATATTCGAAAATTTTGCAACTTAATGTAAGCCACCTCTTCAGAGTAGTTAGGTAAATAAAAACGTCAGAAATATGATTTTTCTATTCATTGGGATATAATAAAAATAATTTTTTACCAACAGTCTTTTGAGCACTAACCACAATTGATTTTCTATCAATTATATGAAGATATCGATCCATCTTTTCTCATCACCATACGAACGGAATGGTAATAATATTCAACTGAACTTTTTGAGAATGATGTTATTCAGGAAGTGAATTCTTTGTGGATACACAAGGTGTCAGATATGATGATCTAAGTTTTTTTCAGGTGCATGGAAACTGTTCTCGAAAAATGTGTATAACACCTGCGATAATATGTTTGTTAGAATCATAGAGACTATTCGAAAACATGTAATTATTTTCCGTCAGAAATAATGAAATAAACCTATCCAACAAACAATACAAGTTACATACTACATTCATCAGCACACCATCGTTGGAACTCACTTGTTATCTGTGGGACAATATCGCATTTCACAGTTTGAATATTACACTATCAAATGACTACTTATGAAGATGAACTCGTGAACATCGTTGATTTGCATAACTGGTTGATTCGAGTGGTAATTTGTTTCACATTCCCTGATTGGATTTACTTTCATAATCAATATGTAGCTATGGAGAAAGGGCAGTCACAGAAGAGATTCATATCATTCTCCTTAGTCACTCGTTGTCTATACTCATTGTAAACTATGGATTTAAATAGTTATCTTGCTGTTTGAGTGTTCTTTTTGTTAAAATTTGAGAACACAGTTGAATATTTTAATTTATAGTGCATAAGTTTATGTAGGGAACAAAAATCATAAAAATTTTGAGTGTGTGTTAAGTGGTGTTTACTGGTGTTTTGTAGGGTTGGGTAACTATGTTAGAAGACTGACCGATGAAAGAGAAGCGTAATTACACAGAGGAAATATCATCACTAGTGTTATGAGAATGCAACAGATGTGGCAATATTAGATTTGTCATTCTATGGTCGAAATCTCTTTTAGGTCATTGATTCGGAATATACTAGAAAATTGATGGTTAATTCGAATGTTATTAATGGCTGTTGATTCGTAATTCGATCAATTCTGTCATTCAAAGTATGTGAAGCATTAGGGATTTTAACAAGTTATTCCTTAATATGGTTAGTGTTTTGCTCGTACTAGAAGAGCTATGCTAGAACTGTTGACCGTTGCAATTCCACCTTTGTCCAAGCAAGATAGAATGAATTGATAAGGACAAAGGAACGAGTTTCTAGAACTTCCGTCAATGTTTCTCTATAGAAAAAGCTGACTTGATGGATTCACCAAGAGTTATATAAGTGTAAATAATCCAGTTTTTATTTTTGGTGTTATCTTCTCTAATGTGTTGTTGAATCTGAGAATAGTTTACTGAAAACGGGAATTGCAGTTCACAAATCGTTTTTTTGTTTTCCGTGTAGATATTTAAATCCATACTAATCAACATATCCTCACTAGTGACTGTCTCCAAATGGTATTTCCTGGAGTTCTAGTTAGAAGCAGTGATCAGTGGAGTTCAACTGGGTCTGTTGTGAGATAGTAACTCACTGAAGACAGTGGTGGATGTGTCGCTCAATTTGGTGGATTATTTGAAGTTAGACATTGACACCGTTGAATGCCTATCAGCTCAGTGGTCTAGTGGTTAAGCGTTAATGCGCGAGAATGATAGGTCCTGGGTTAGAATCTCGTGAGTCGGGATGGTGGATTCGCAGTGCTGAGGAGTCGCATAATAGGACGAGACGGCCATCCAGTGCTTCTGGGTTTTCCATAGTAATCTAGCTTCAATTGTCTCATGATTTCAACTAATGAAATTAGTAATAATATACGCAAATAACCCTTCTGAAATAAATATTCAATTAATTGAGTTCATAATTAAACATTTTATTCAACAACATCAAAAGCACACAATGGTTTATTGAGATTATATGTCATTTGAATATGCATTGGATGTGTGGAAATGGTTTGTAAGCGTCTTAGGAATAAGTTATTAAAATAACGTTTACAAAATGATGAACATTCAAATACATGTTAATGGTTTACTGTATTAATAACTTTATGATATGATTTTTAAAGCTTAGATGAAATGCAGTGTAAGTATGGATTAAATACTGGGGCAAGGAGGATTATCAATTCAATCACCTACCAAGGGAAACTGATTGTATCTTACTAGTAGTTGATATTTAGTTACGACAAGCAAATAGTGGTTTGAATAGAATTCTTTTGAATTTCTCAATGTGAATACAATATATAATAATGTTTAAAGATGACTGAAGAAAAATTAAAGTCCATCCTATATTTAGAAAGACTAGAAGGAAATAGAGTAATCCTAGTGGAATGTTATAGTTTAAACGATCAACAGAGATTGTAAGAAGAAAAGATATTCCACATGGTAATGCACATAAAAATGCAAAAATATGAAGGATAAGCATTGTGACAGTACGTGAATTGTTTATCATAATTGATGTTTGTGTATCCGTTGGTTGAGGACGACCACGTGACCAACGTATCACTTTCACCAAGAAAAATGTATCAATCATAATGACAATTAAAAATTGTGTTAGACATGTGTATGAAAATAAAGCTTGATAAATGATTAGGAAATCAATGTAGTGTTTATGCCAACATATATTACGATTAGTTATGAGAATCAAATCACTATTGATGGAAATGGGTAATGACATTAGAATAGTTATAATGAAGACTGTGCTGATTATTATCCAGACAATATATTTGGAATGTTTCCTAAAGATTAATGGTTTATGAATTAACAACAAACGATCGAATGCCATTATTAGAAAGATATTTCCACGAAAAATACATGTAACCGATTGAAAGAACATATACAATTTACAACTAATAGTTGATGTTAATGAAATGAAATAATATGCATTTCCTGATGTTGCAAATGGTAAACCAAATGTAGGAAACCAATATAACCATCCAATAATAATAACTAATGAAATATCTGATATAGCAAGAACTCCTAGATATACAAATTGTCTATTATGTTGCACTAGATAATATAGAAATATTATAGCAACAATACAATTAGAAATCAAATGAAAGACTCCAATCAATGGGAATATATAAGCCATAAAACTTCCAAGAAATATTGAAATATCACATAATATTTTACTGGCATTTGGATGTCCTTGTTCTAACATTACACAATCAATCAAATTGTTTACTGGTGTGTAAAATGTCGTCCAGTTATGATTCTCATTCATGTTGACAATTTATCTATGTATGTTCATATAAATTCAATCCTTGGAATTTAGATTATTTGATGGATTTAATTTAAACATAAAATGCAAACATTCTTTTGGCGAAGGTAATAATAATCTCTAACAGTTAATAATGATAACGCCCAAGCACTTTTTTTCGAATGAAACTTTGTTAACTTCCATGAAACTCCACGTTCTAATCAAATCAAATAATTTGCCATGAATTTTATTGGTAGTCAGTAAGACTAACTTACTTTGTTTAAATTGTTCAACCTTCATTTTCGTTACAACAATTGTAGAAATGTGAATATTCATGAGGAGTTAATCACTATGCCAGTGATTTTTTGTTTGTTTGTTAAATCAGTTCAATACCTTGTTTCATTTGTGTTAGTTGGTGATTTTGGATTGCAATTTATTGATCTTTTTTGTTATATGTTTATCTTTTGCGGATTGCCGTGATATTTCCTTTAAGTCACAAGCATTATTAACAGAGATAGATGGTGATTAACACTTATTAATGAAGACGCGTGTTTCATCGCATTCGAAACTCATCAGCTGGATGTACCATCGAGAGGACTGGGTTTCTTGTCTCGAAGAGATTGTAAGCTTTTGTATGCAGGTACATCCATCTGACGGGTCCTAAATAGAACAAAGTGGGAGTTCTGAATTCCACTTGTTGCCACTATCCATCTTTGCTTATAGTTCAATTCGTTTATTCGAATTATGTGTTTGATTTGATTACTGTAATTTTGTATGGCATTCATATTTTTGAAGAGAATAATACGGATGAGTAGTTAGTATTAGAGCCGTCCTAGCGTATATTATATGTAATTAAGTTACTTAGTTCCATACTTTTGCACTTACCAAGTTTCACACTTATTAATATGAATTAATAATGGCTGAAACTGAGACGTAGGTTGTTGTAATCTACCAGTGTTTGTTAGTAATTCATCTAGATCAGACAATACTTCAATCAACATAATTCGAATATATGGTGGTACAATACTTACATACATACTTACGCCTGTTATTCACAATGGAGCATAGGCCGCCGACCAGCATTCTCCAACCCATTCTGTCCTCGACCTACCATTCCAGCTCTATCCAGTTTTTGTTCATTCTTCTCATGTCTGTCTTCATTTCTCGACGTAATGTGTTCTTTCGTCTTCCTCTCCTCCTTTGACCTTGAGCATTCCGTTTAACGTTGTTACTTATATCAAATTGGTCATGCCTGTAAACTGGCGTGAATTCTGTAATTATTATTTTTCAGAATATTAATTAATAATAATAATTTAAATTAGTAAACACAGGGGGATGAGACGTAATTATTTTCTTGTCTTTTAGGTTTTCCATGAAGCATGAACCTTGTTGTTTCCTTGATAATGACCTTCGCTGCACGTTATTTCTTTATTATTCTTGTCTCCTCTTACCCTCATATTCTAGTCTAGTTCACTTTTTGTTTTTATATATAAATGTTCTTAACAAGTATATGTGTGATCAAACTGTGCGAAATGTATTGTGCTAATATATCATCACATAGTTCTGATAATCTTCATCTTCTTATTGAACTACCAAGAAATAGTTATCAAAGAAGGGTTCTTGTGGATATTATCAATAATTTAATAGTTGAATTCATGAATTAATTGAAGTTAGATCACCATGGAAAACCTGAAAGCACTGGATTACCGTTTCGTCATGGGTCCGAATCTCGCAAGGCGGGATCATCGATGTGCACAGCTGAAAAGTTCCATACTAAGACGAAACGGCTGTTCAGTGCTTCCAGGTTTTCCATGATGATTTAGCTTCAATTGATTCATGAATTCAACTATTAAATAGTTATCAATTTTTTCTCTAATTTACTTTGAATAATATAAAAAGTCTTTCTGTTTACATAAACATTAGATGAATTTTGTTTTATTTTACCATTTTTCTATTGTCACGACAACTAACTACTTGAAATAAAAAAACCAAATAAATTAAGTTTCCTTTCCACATGATCTGCAAGAAAGTCTACCCATTCTTTGATGCTGAGGATACTTATCTAATCCAGATTAAGACCTTGGCGAGATAGGTTAACCGACCTAACCTTGAGGATAGTACGCGTGAGTTCGAAGTGGGATAGAGAGAAGAAAACTATTCTATCACCTGATTGGCTGACAAGCACGCGAACGAGAGAAGACAGGACAAATGGAAAACTACTCGATCTATTCCTGATAACCTGATTTCAGTTCAGTTCGGATTAGTGCAAAAAGGTACATGAATAAATAGGTGATTTACCCGACCACAACGTACAACAATTTGGAAAAATAAAGTTATATCCAAAGCTGGGAATTAGAGTAGAAAATAGAGTACAAAATATTATGTTTAAATTACAATAGCTTTGGAACAGAAAAGGGTATGGTAATGAATCATACATCGAACGAAAGTTAGATTAGGGACAAAAATAAATGTCCGTGTTTTACAAGTTTTGAATAAAATGGAATAACGTCCCAAAAAAATAGCTTTCGTAGTTTGTCACGGCTTCTTGTTTTCCTGTTCACAACAAAAGTTAATATCATTCTTCATCTTAATGTCTATCAACCACAAGTTGTATCATAATATGCTTTATATAACAGGCAAATCAACATTATCTATAAATATCAATGTTAAACCTTCATTATTGAAATAAATCTTAACCCATTAACACTGTATTTTATGATCAAACTAAATAGAATCTTTGTGTGAAATTTATCTATTTACATTAGCTACAAAGCATCTTACATCATAGTTGATTTGATTTCGTCAAGATAAATCTTAACCTAAACCCTTAATTCTAAAGTTAACTACCTAATCCTTATCAAGAACAATGTGAGAACTATTAATAATCTATCTAGGTTTTGTAATTGTGAATAATCCATATTCTTCTGAACGAAGATAAGTGTAGGGAACAGAACACGGATGTGAACAATCGAATGTATTTAACACACAATTACAGGACTTGTTAATAAAATCGAACAATCATAAAGTAAATGCTTAATTTGCAAAATGTCCATTGATTGTCTCAAAAATGACTCAGACTTCATTGTTCTTGCATTTTCACACAAATTGCATTCTGTGTTTCCATTCTTTACTGTTCGATCCTCTTGTCTCTCTGCTGCCAGACCTTCTGTTCACGACTAACATCACATACTACTTATGTCAATATAAGTAGCATACACCACATATGTATTTCGTATTGTTTTTTTTTCGATGTACAAACAAAGCAACCTGTAGATGACTATAGTAAATTCATTCATTACGTATTTTGTTTATATTTTGTGATGTTATTGTGTTCTTCCATATAAACTAATGTACTTACAAAGCTGTTTTCATATTGGTTAGGAACTGTCATAAAATTCATTTTTATTATTTATAACTCATCTCTGTTCTATACTTTTACTGGAATTAGTTCATTTTAACAGTTACTTAACTTGGTCATTCACTGATTTATAGCATGTGTTGTAATTTTATTTATAGTCGTATATCTGAAAGGTACTTCTCCTTCGTTTGTTGTTTTGTGCCGATTATTAACTGTCGGGAAACATTTAGATTTAAATTTTGTATATATATATTAGTATCAGAATGAGGATTTGTGGAAATTGAAGTAATTTTTTAATAGTTGAATTCATGAATCGATCTAAAATAAACTACCATTGAAAACCTGGAAGCACTGGACGGCTGTTTCGTCCTAGTATGGGATTCCTCAGAAGTGCAACTTCATGATCCCGTACACAGGATCAAAAAAACCCCTAGACCACTGAAACGGCACTTCTTATTGTCTTCGGTAGGCAATTACCTTCCAGCGGATACGGATTAGCTCTCATGATCACGGATTTTCACTAGAAATCCTGAAATTTTCTCTTGAATCTAGCCACTAGTGAGAACATGGTAGTTTTCACTTTGGGGTTTTCCAGTCTCATACTAGAACGATTATCATTATAAAAAGTGGGAACTTGTTTTTTTTTATAGATTTTCAGTTTTTTCATACATTTCCATCTTGTTAGCCATATCTTCTATCGGAGTTGAGGAGAATAGAAATTTTTCTGTTCTATCGGTAAAGATCCCTCTGTTTGTAAGATGGTAGTTGGAGGTAGTCAACACGAAATCCTGAGACTCAGGTTTCATGCTATTCGGTGCTCATTACCAAGGTGGGGTGACTGATACTCCCTGACTGATTCGATGCCGTTCCACTCAGCTTCACAGACACAGTCAGTACCATAGAGCTAGCGAGACAGTGACTGACGTCTTGTAGTACTGAGGTGTATTGCTTAACTGATTGGTCACTATGTAGTGACTACCATCATGTCACCTGCTTACGTCTTAACATTGTACATGTGATTCCGAGTCACGTAGACTAATGACTACATTTCAACTTGACAGACAGGACTTGATCAACAGTAAGAAAGAATTTACATACAAGATATTAGTCATCTTTCAATGATCAATGAATTATCCAAGAAGATCTCTCAGTTTATTCAGTTCATTTTTCAGACGGTTTACAAACATAGCTGGTATCATATAATATGGTAGATAATTTCACTCGCTAAAGATTATATGGATATTAGTAGCCACCAGTAAATCCTTTTATACTTACTTACTTACTCTTGTTACACCTCGTCGAGGAGCATAGATCAGTGAACAAAATTCTCCATCAAACTCTATGCTCGACAATCCTTTCCAGTTAGTTCCAGTTGATATTCATCCTTTTCATATCTATTTCCGATTCCCAAAGAAATGTATTCTGAAGTCTTCCACTTTTTGTTTTCCTTTCACGATTCCAACTTAACGCTTGTTTCATGATGCGGTTTGATGCTCTACGCAAAATATGTACACAGTAAGCTGTTGCTAATGGTATCCGTTCAACAGACATTGAGTATCTTGAGTTTAGTTATCCTATCAATACATAAAACTTTGAGATTTCTGAGACCAACTTGTTTGCTCTTTCTTAACCATTTCACAGTCGTGTTTTAAAGAGAATCTGACTG